CTGGCATTATTCTGTAACAGGTTTTAGTTGTTACTATTGTTCTTAATTTCTCACTTTAAAAACAATTCTAAATTTTTTAAATAATAATTTTAAAATTTATAATAATAATTATAAACTAAAATTGCATTATAATTTCAAAAGTTAGTAGAATCTATCCTTAAAATTTTACACTATTATGATCATTGTTAAAACATTTTTATGTAATTATTTTTTATTTGATTGTATGATAATTTGCTGTTTTGCCAGCTTACTGATCATAATTATTTTAGACCATATGCTCCTTCACTGCATTTTAAATCTTCCAATTTCTTCCAATGAGTTCCAATTTATATAATGGTAGATTCATATATCTGTACTTTGGCAGCTAGTTTCATCATTATGTAAATTTGTTGCCTTAAAAACATACAGAAAATCCTGAATTACAGGAAGTTATTAATTAGAAGGGAATCTGAAATGGTCATTTCTTCCTTATACTCTAGCTATGTTGTTGTTAATTGTACATTTGTTTTGGTATTTGGTATCTGTTGGAGAAGACTATATGCCTATATGCCAAGGCATATGGAATGTTGTTATCTTCTCACCAAAGTGGTACCTATTCACATTTTCATGCTTTCAAAGTGCTAGGTGGGCAGGAGCTAGGGTAAGTAATGGGAACTCATCCTGTCTCATGGCACTTAGATCTTGAAGCCAGACTCTCAGCTGACCTCAGCATCTTTAACTGCTGAGCCATCATGCCTCCTTATTATAGAGTAGACAGATATATCTATTATATTGAGAGTCAGATAGCCAAGATGCTCAGAAGACAAAGCCATGAAGCATGATCAGCAATCTTGCAACAAGGAGAAGGCAGGTTGATTCTCCCCTACATTTCTATATGGTCCACATGGCATAGATCTGATAGAAAGGTTTTGGTCACAAAATTGGGAGATGGTGAAAACACAGTGGAACAGAAGCATAACTTCCAAAGCATTGGGATATTGTTATCTAGCATTATTTATTTTTGAAGAGTACTACTCAGAGCCCCTTTATGGATTACTGCCTTGTCGTGGCGAAGGGGCTTGCGTAACTCAATGAAGCTATAAGCTATGCCGTGCAGGGCCACCCAAGACGGACAGGTTATAGCAGAGAGTTCTGACAAAATGTGATCCACTGGAGAAGGAAATGGCAAACCACTCCAGTATCTTTGCCATGAAAACCCCATGGACAGTACTAAAAGGAAAAAAGATATGACGCTGGAAGATGAGCCCCTCAGGTCGGAAGGTGTCCAATATGCTACTGGGGAAGAGCAGAGGGCTAGTACTAGTAGCGCCAGAAAGAATGAAGCGACTGGGCCAAAGCCGAAAGGACGCTCAGCTGTGGATATATCTGGTGGCGAAAGGAAAGTCCAATGCTGTAAAGATTTTTTTTCCATAGGAACCTGGAATGTAAGATCCATGAATCAAGGCAAGCTAGACGTAGTCAAAAAAGAGATGACAAGACTGAACATCGACATCTTAGGAATCAGCGAACTAAAATGGACAGGAATGGGTGAATTTAACTCAGATGGAGGTTAAATTCTAGTTAAATTCTAATTAAACTAGTGGAGGTGACAGTATTCCAGCTGAGCTATTCAAAATCTTAAAAGACGATGCAGTAAAAGTGTTACATTCAATTTGCCAGCAAATTTGGAAAACTCAACAGTGGCCACAGGATTGGAAAAGGTCAGTTTACATTCCAATTCCAAAGAAAGGCAATGCCAAAGAATGTTCAAACTATGCACCATTGCACTCATTTCACATGCTAGTAAAGTTATGCTTAAAATCCTACAAGCTAGACTCCAGCAGTATGTGGATCGAGAACTACCAGAAGTACAGGCAGGATTTTGAAGAGGCAGAGGAACTAGAGATCAAATTGCCAACATACGCTGGATCATGGAGAAAGCTAGGGAGTTCCAGAAAAACATCTACTTCTGCTTCATTGACTATGCAAAAGCCTTTGATTGTGTGGATCACAACAAATTGTGGCAAGTCCTTAAAGAGATGGGAGTACCAGACCATCTCATTTGTCTCTTTAGAAACCTATATGTGGGTCAAGAAGCAACAGTGAGAACCGAACACGGAACCACTGATTGTTCAAAATTGGAAAAGGAGTCCGGCAAGGCTGTATACTGTCACCCTGCCTATTTAACTTATATGCAGAGCACATCATGAGAAAGGCAGGGCTAGATGAATCAAAAGTTGGAATTAAGATTGCCGGGAGAAATATCAACAACCTAAGATATGCAGATGATACCACTCTAATGGCAGAAAGTGAAGAGGAACTAAAGAGCCTCTTGATGCGGGTGAAGAAGGAGAGTGCAAAAGTTGGCTTGAAACTCAACATTAAGAAAACCAAAATCATGGCATCCGGCCCTCTCAATTCCTGGCAAATAGATGGGGAAGAAATGGAGGTAGTGACAGATTTTATTTTTCTGGGCTCCAAGATCACCTCAGATGGGGACTGCAGCCAAGAAATTAAAAGACGCTTGCTCCTGGGGAGGAAAGCTATGGCAAATCTAGGCAGCATTCTAAAAAGCAGAGACATCACCCTGCCAACAAAAGTGCGTATAGTCCAGGCCATGGTTTTCCCAGTTGCAATGTATGGCTGTGAAAGTTGGACCATAAGAAAGGCTGAGCGCAAAAGAATTGAGGCCTTTGAACTATGGTGCTGGAGAAGACTCCTGCGAGTCCCTTGGACTGCAAGGCGTTCAAACCGGTCAGTCCTAGAAGAGATCAACCCCGACTGCTCCTTAGAAGGCCAGATCCTGAAGTTGAAACTCAAGTACTTTGGCCACCTAATGAGAAGGAAGGATTCACTGGAGAAGAGCCTAATGCTGGGAAAGATTGAGGGCAATAGAAGAAGGGGACGACAGAGAATGAGATGGCTGGATGGAGTCACTGAAGCAGTAAGTGTGAACTTAAATGGACTCCAGAAGATGGTAGAGGACAGGAAGACCTGGAGGAACGTTGTCCATGGGGTCGCAATGGGTCGGACACGACTTTGCAATTAACAACAACAACACTCAGAGACATTTACAACTAAGGATAAAACACAATTTAATTGTAATTAATTAATTTCATTAATCAGATTAGATAATCATTTCTACCTTTGAGATCCCTGTGCTGTTCTTTTAATCTTCTTTTTAATAATTTTTGAAGTCTTCAGAGGGCTACAATTTAATAAATGCATATCAAAGAGGTAATTTTAACATTGAGAATTTTTGTGGTCTTTTCTTACTTTCTACACCTACATGTATCTTTCAGCTGTGACACAGAATCATGGACTGAAACATTGAAAGGGACATTAGAGATCACCAAGTCCAAGCCCTGCCCAATTGTTTCAAAAAGACTTTTAATATTGCTGCTTTAACTGAGTTCTTCATTCAAACTAATACACTCTGGGCCCCTTCTGAATTCTATGCAGTGCTCTAGAAGAATAAATGTAGACCTTGAATTTAGAATTTGAACATAGACCCTAAGTCATAATTTGAATGTAAAACTGGCAGACTGACAGTTGTTTTGCCAGTCTAGATAGTTGTTTTGTCAGCCTGTGCATACTGCCAAAGTATTTGAAAGTCTGTTATGTATCAAGGAATGGATCTCTCACAAATATTACATGCAGGTTTTTTTTTTCCCCTGAAAGACTTCTTTCAAGCAAGAAGTGGAATGATTAAGACATTCTGAAGTAAGTCACATTAAAATACAGTATTTGGTTTTGACTGTATATTATTTGCCATCAGTTTCAATCTTTGGGAAATCAGAAGAAAGAGAAGACAGAAGGAAAAAGGAAAGAGAAATGAAACATAGACCAACACACTGCAGAATTGCTGCTTTCAGTTCAGAGCTGAATTAGTCTAAGACATGTCCTTTGTATGGTTGTTGTAAGAAAAATATTTATGAAAGTCTGCATTATTTTAGGTATTGCTATATTTCATAGCATCAGAATTATTTTCATATTCACATATTTTAAGTCCCTGTGCTTTCAAGAGAAAGGAAAGAACATGTTGAGGTTTTCCACTGAAAACACTCGTGATGTAGTATTTTGCACCTGTATTTTAAAAAATTAGCCAAAGGTATGATTGCTTATCACAAAGAGGAAAAGTTGATTATTATATTGTGTTGATACATGGGCATTCACATATACATCCACGTAAATATTTGAACGTTTGCCTTTACTATTGCCTCCTAGCCTCTGCTCATGAATATCATTTAATTATCTTTTCATAAACAGATTATTATTTTGAAATGCAGGAGTCAAAACTTTGTGCTCAAAGACATAAAGACAATTTGACTAGTCAGTTTCTGAACTTAATTGTCTCATGTAGATAATTTACCTTATCCTTCTAATTTTTCCATTTTGTATTTATACCTTGTGATGAATTGACTCTTATCACTTCTGGTGCACTAGGAATGTAGAAGCTGTAACTGTAAACCAGTTTAGCATTGCTTCTGAAATCCTAATTTTGTATAGCTATTACGGTAGATGCACCATTGCATTTATACAACTTAGCAAGCCTTTATAGGAAAAATTCTTAGCTATCCTTTAATCTATTTTTACTGCAGATGGTGAAACAGATCTTTGGGTTATATGTGTAAAGAAAAAGAGTGCAAATCTTAATATAGTATCACTACAAATGAATAACTGTTCTAGGTCTCCAAGCTGACATCAGAAATGCTTATATGAAGGATATCCAGACAGCCACTATGTATAATAGGAAAAAAACAAACATGTGAGTCTACAGGCTGTGTTTTGGCGGACTTAATTTTTTAAAAGGATTTAAAAGACTTATCTCTTTCTGGACACATGTATCTAGGACAGCACTATGAAATGCTGTTCTCTCTGCATCACCAAGATCTCAAATTAAACAAGTTCACAGTTAAGGTCATATGCAGCTGAGCTTGGCTTCATCTTATAAATAGACATATCTTTGCAGACTTAGCAGAAATGGCAATAGAAAACTCATTCCAATCTGATCTCAAGGGGTAATCCTTTCCTGGGGATACTGTCTTTCTACCAATTGTAATCATATCAGACACTATGGAGGAAACAAGGATTTTCAACATGTGAAATTAGAAACAAGTATCCATAAGAAATAAGAAGAACTCTGATGTTTTATTTAATTCAGGATTCTATGTCACACTGATGAACCAGATGCATTTGAGATGCACGCACATAGGACATGAAGGTGATGGCCCGCTTTTCCTGTTTTTCCACATCCACTAATTATTTTTAGGTAAGATGTATTTCATTTTAGAAAAGACACACTATCTTCCAAATTAGCAGACAATGATAGTTGATTTTCTGTGTATTTTGGGAAGGAAGAAAGGAAGGAAGGAAGGAAGGAAGGAAGGAAGGAAGGAAGGAAGGAAGGAAGGAAGGGAGGGAGGGAGGGAGGGAGGGAGGGAGGGAGGGAAGGAGGGAGGGAAGGAAGCCTATACTTTGGAAAAATGTTCATGATTATTGCATACCAGCCTGAAGCAATTACTTGGAACAATATTGTGTTTAGCTTCTAGGGAAAAAGAGATACTTTTAAAAAGTCTATAACTGATATACTGTAGAAGAATGCTGCCCCCAAAGATAAAATATGAGTGAATTGCTAAAGTCGTTTTGCTCATTAACATTGCTAATGGGAAAAACACTCAAATTTTTGCTCCCAGCAATATTTTACATTGTTTAGAGCCACAAAATCAGTGCTGGTAGACACTGGGACCTGTTTCCACAATGTTTGTATTACTGCCTTAGATATTAGTTAAGACTCTATAGAAGAGACGAAGACAGAAAGGTAGACAGACAGACAGACACATAAGAATCTATATTAGCTAAGGAAGAAATTCTTACTATATAAATTGGGCAAATTAACAAATTATATTACTAAATTATAAGTGATTCTTGCATGACTACTGTTTAGAAAAAGTTGCATAAACATAAAATTAATTCAGATTGATACTCTAGTCTGAAGTCTGAAATCCCAAGAAGAATTTTAACCTTTGTCCCTACTCCAGTTCTAATACATTTCCTTGGAAATAAAATTTCTCAAAAGTGATGACCCTCATATAGCAGTTTCAGTCTTCTATAAACTTTTGAAAACCAAATTATTCTGGAGAGCCTATGATTAGCGACAGAATAATCAGGACTGATTGATTTTATGTTATGTTTCTGGGACACTGTTAATTAGTGGTACTGATTGTTTCATTTTATTTCTATTGAGGAATAGAAATAAATTAATATCTGGAATTTCTGCCAGTAAATGATGCAGTTGTAAAGCACAACATCATGTGACCATGTTGCTTAGTGACAGCAATCCCTGCAGTTCCTGTTACCATTGATAAACAAGGATTGTGGTCATTATTGGAGCCCTTCATTGCAAGTTCTTCTGGTTTTCAACAAACAAAATCAATGGGAAACCAACCAAAATTGCAAGCCCCATGCAGTTTGCAAGCGGGGCTGCAGGCAGGTGGGTGGTTGCTGTCAGGTGAAAGAGAGATGAGTGGCTGAAGGGATGATGGGACAGGTGCAGTGTGAGTGCAGCAGGATTTAGACTGAATGCCAGGTTGGTAAAGGTGCATGAGGATGCATGATAGCTGGGAGGGTGTGCAAAAGGCTAGACGTAGCTTAACTGCTACAAGGCTTGGTGAGGGTGTGCAGGTGGGAGAGACCCAAGCAACTTGCCATCTTCCCTGCTGTCTTCCCTGTTGACTTTTCCTGTGTGGAAAGGCAGCAGAGAAGGTCCCAAATCACAATCAAATGACCATGGAACTAGAACTGTCATAAATGCAAGCTGGTTACCAGTGCACTGATCACACACAATCACATAACTGCAGGGTTGTGGAATGACTGGGACTTCAAGGGCCACTTATAACCTCTACCCCCACCCAATTCAGCACAATCATAACTCCGAATAGTTGCTGAACAAGTGATCATTAACTGAGTAATATATTTAATGATTAGCTTTGTTTTCTCTGTTACACTTAATTATTCTTAAACCTCTATGAGCCTATGTGATTATGGCAGGTATAAATTGTTTAAATCTCTGTGTGCAATGTTAATGTAAAGTTGCAGGTAGGAATGACTCAGAAATAGAACTATATATATAAATGGGAGAAGGATTTTTAAATATTTAAATACATTATTCAGTTAATTTATTAAATCATAAATTTATTTATTTATTTATTTATGAGACTTATATACCGCTTTAAGTGCAAGCACTCTCTAAGCGGTGTACACCAGTAAGCAATGTATATATATATTTACATTGCCCCCAACAATCTGGGTCCTCATTTTACCTACCTCGGAAGGATGGAAGGCTGAGTCAACCTTGAGCCGGTGAGATTTGAACCGCTGACTTGCTGAACACAGTCAGCTAAAGTGGCCTGCAGTACTGCACTCTAACTGCTGCGCCACCTCAACTCATAATGAGTTTTTGGAACAGCCTGAATGTGACATCGGCATAAGTGCTGGAGAAGAAAAGTCAAAAAAAGAGGAAGCAAGAGATCTGAGAGAAAAAATCTTGTATTCAGAAATTACAATATACATCCCCTTTTAAGATAGGGACTAACAGCTCAAAAAGGATTATCTTATGATGATGGTAAAAACTGATGAAAATAAAGTTGACTTAATTGCTTCAGATTAAGAATTGAAAATGCTAACTAAATATGTGCCATAAAACATGGCACACTTGGTCTTGAGAGATATTTAAGACACATTTTTCTATGCTATGAAAGGCAAAGCATAAACAATTGTCTTTTTTCCTTTCACTGTCAGAAATTGAAAATGTATTTCTGGGAAAATGGCAAGACATCTTCTGATCGAGCCATCAGAGGATAAAGGTGGCATGGGGCTGGGTGACAGTCAACGTTCTCCAAGTCACTCTTATGCAAAGAACATAACTGTTCAATAATGCTTTCCAGTATTTCTCAACTTCAGTATGGGTGAGTGTTGAAGTCCCCACATCTTAAAGTTGTGATGTTTGAGAAATACTGTTAGATGAAAACTCACTTGGCCACTCAAGTATTGATTAAGTTGGGCAGCTCTAGAAATTGAATGAATGAATGAATGAATATTTTTTTTTAAAAAAATGAACCACTTTTTTGTCAGGGTGAGAGTATAGCTTGACTGAAACATGATCAGGCCGAGGATTCATAAGCAGGTTAATCTGCTCATTCCTTGTCGTTTGTGATTTGGGCCTCTTCTGCTTGGGCTGAGTCTGCTTGGTTCAACTCTACTAGCCATTTGCAACCAGTTGCAGTCTTTCTGCATAATGGATATATATTCATAATAGGCTTCTACTGCCAAAATCTCCTTCTAACTTTCATAATTTCATGCCAGGCCAGTTTCAGAGCATAGGTTTTTCACAGCCGTTATCGATCATGTGTTTGTTCACTTCCGTGACTACAATAGTTTTGAAAGAGGTCCAAAAATATATTTTTAAAAGTCAAGATGTTGCAGACAATATCAATGGCTTATATTATATTATGAATATTTCTTGCCTTTGTATGAAGCTAATAAAGCAATGGTCAAGGAGCAGAGCCAGCTTTTTTTTTTTTCTCTTTCTTTTCCTATCCAAGTACAAAGTCATTAAATCACTCTCATTATTCTGAGTATTCAAGAAGTTTTCTTTATGGTTTCCTTAAAGGCAGGAAGTAAAGCATTGGTGTGACCAAAGTACATCGTTTTTCATTATGTTCAGACAATTGGAAGCCATTTGAATAGATATTAGTTTCACTTATTTATTTTCTGACATTAGTTTTAGAATAATATCCCACTTCTTTCTAAAGGAGCCCAAAGTGGTGCACTAACGAGAACAATAAAACAATTTGATACTGTAAAACAATAAAAAGGCAACCATAAAAATAATAAGAAATAAATATTCAATGGCTTTTGAAAGGCAGCCAAAAAAATCAGCCTCATCCTAGAATAGTTCTTACCTGCCGACATCCGGATAAACAACTATAAAAAGGAAAAGGTAAAGGTTTCCCCTGTCCAGTCATGTCTGACTCTAAGGAATGGTGCTCATCTCTGCTTCTTAGCCAAAGAGCCATGTTATCCAAAGACATTTCCGTAGTCATGTGGCCAGCATGACTATATGCTGAGGTGCACTGAATGCTGTTTACCTTCCCACTGAAGTGGTAGAAATAGCAACAGCAATAGCATTTAGACTTATATACCACTTTACAGTACTCTACAGCCCTCTCTAAGCAGTTTACAGAGTCAGCATATTGCCCCCAACAATCTGGGTCCTCATTTTACTGACCTCAGAAGGATGGAAGGCTGAGGACTTTGAGCCAGTGAGAATCGAACTGCCAAAATGCAGGCAACCAGCAGTCAGCAGAAGTAGCCTGCAGTACTGCATTCTAACCACTGCACCACCAGGGCCATGGTACCTATTTATATACTTGCATTTATGTGCTTCTGAACTGCTATGTGGGAAGGAGCTGGGGAAGGAGCTGGGGCAAGTAATAGGAGATTTTCAGCTGATAAGCTCAGTGTCTTTAACCAAGTTACTAAATGTCTGCATCAACATTTACATTATTTGTGATAGATCAAAACCATATTTCATGGATTTTTTCATCTACTAGAACTCAGAGTATAATTTTGGTTTTTCTCATTTTGAAAAAAAAAACCCCTTTGGAAAAGAGCCTCACATATATCTAAGAAGCTTACCATTCAATGGTAAGAATGTGATCTATTTTACATGTATATATGTTCATATTTTATGTCTGAAATACAATGCAGCTTCCTACTTTCATGATCCACTGCAACTCCTTTTGGTCCTTTTGATAGTATATGATAGTATATGATCTTTGTTATTAGTAGTAGGATAATCCAGATAAACAGATTTTTCACTAGAAGATTTAGCCAGTTCCATGAATAACAAGCTACTTGGTAATTTGCCAATTTTCGTTTAGCAGCTAAAGGAAATAAATGGAAAACAACAAATAGTGACAGATCGTGTATTTGCTGTCTCCTACAGAGAGCTCACAAAGTGAGAAGACGAGAGAAGACAGAATGCTACACAGAAACCTTTGTAAGCACCCCTTTGAGTTCTAAGCAAGGAAAGATGAATGTGAACCATCCCACAAGGTACCATCAGCAACAGTTCCAAACACCAGAGATTGCTGAAAGACCTAACAAAATCAGCATGGATGCTTGCATCTGTTGCCACAGGAAGACAATCGTCAATCATTTGGTTTCCCAGACTAAACTAAATGAGCTATTGAGACAGGACTGAGATAATGACGGGAATTTTTTTCTCAGTGCCTTCTCGATAATCCTGACCAGAAATGACTGCAAGAAAATTAAAACCTTGAGACATTTCACTTTTATAATTCTATTTAATTTCTAAATTAGCAAATTGACCTGGTTTTATCCAGAGCTGATGTTCCCAAATGAAGCTTGGGAGCTATGAATGCCAAAAAAAAAAAAAAAAAAACCCTGAAATGATTTATATTAGTGTTCCTATTAAGTAGACAGTAATGGTTTTTCAAGTCTGAATACAGTAAATGTTACTTATCTCTCCAGTTACCCACCTCCCTCTATTTCCCCATTATTTCCTGCAAATATTTTTTCCAGTTCTTTTTTTTCTTCAGCAAAGTGGCTTATTGCAGGGAAAATAGTCTTCACCTTCCTACCCCAGTGTTATGGGATCTTTCTGCAAGAGACACCTGGCTGACAAAGAGCCCTTGTATCTGTTGGTTAAAGAAAATATATGTACTGTATATTTATCTTTTTTTATTTGAATCTTTCTTCTAGTCAATGCTCCATGAATGAGAGATAGAATATTTTAATGAAATTATTGGGAAGGCAGAAAACTATACTGTTCTGTGGTTTTTTTTAAAAAAATAGTTCTGTGACCACACTTTCTAGACATTTATTTCATAAGTCATTCCCATTCTATTTGATAGGAAAGAAATGGGATTTGATTTTCCCTCTATACCCCCCCCCCCAAAAAAAAACACCTGATGAATTTTTTATGGGTGGATTATGAGCATGCTTACTGAGTTACCGGTAGTATGATAGAGAAATACAGGTGAATGCTGTTCTTTCATTGTATGATCTTAATCTACTACCAATAGGTAGCTATGACATCTATCAAATCATTAAAGAAGACATAATAGCGGATTTGCTCCCAGTATGCTTTTTTAATTAAGAAATTTAGGCAGCCAGAGTGACTACAAACTGAAGAAGTGTAACAAAATAAACAAATCACAACAACATTTTGCCATCTTGCAGCATTATATTACACTCAAGTTCACTATCAAAGAAATGTAAAAGACCTCCTAAAGTATTCTGAAAATAAGGTAGAAAAAGAGAAGATTCTTTCTGGAATTTTAAAAACAGTTTTGGATTAATTTTACGTTACAATCCAATTTGTTTTATTCATGTATTATTTAATCATGAAGTTTTTATACTATCACAGTCAAAAGATTCTCGGTTTTGCACAGGCTAATGATGGCTGGATTTATTAAACCCATATTAACCAATGAGGTCACTGCTGAATTAAAGCTGAACTGCCAGATCATGACCACTGCTGTGTTATTGTGTTCCTCTCCAATTCTGGAGACATCAAGAATTTTTGCTGGCCTAAAACATGTTATTCTCCTATCAGCTCTCTATTCCACACCCAGAATCAGTTAATATTGTGCAGCTCTCCATACAATGTCTTTATATGCATAAAGAAATTTAAACAGAAATATATTCAATTGTATTATTGTTAAACTTACAAAATATATTATAGTGTTTCAATACAGAGGTACTTGTACAGTATTGATTAAGAATATTAATATAGTAGTGTTTAGACAACTATTGAAGATAAAAAGGAAAAAACATATCAATATTAATTATGATTTAAAATGTCAGTGTTAATGAAATAATATTTGGCTTTTTCATCCAGAATTGAGCGTTGCATTAAAAAAACTACTGCAGGTTACATCAAAGTATTTGAGGTACAGTAACGGTTTTGGTTTTAAGCTAATTATCTAGTATGAAGATCTGTATTGTATTGCTATTTAATATTGTTTGTGCCTGTTGAAAAAAAAAGAACAAAGCAAATTTGTCAACAATTAAAATACAAAGGAATAAAGTGAAATAAAAAGGAAAAGGAGAAAAATAAGGTTATTCCATTTCTATCTTTCCCTTTTTTTATGCCTCTGCTAATTTATAATACTCATAAACATTTGGGTCTCCTTAGAACCCAGACTGCAAGTGATTATATTTGCCATGCTGTGTGATATATGGTATGTATGGGAACCATTCTTGCTTAATTTTGGTTAAACATCTTTTGTAAATATATATTGTTAATTTTGCCAGTGTTGCATATTCTCAAAGTTTAAGTTCCCAATCAGATATTTTTGGGAATTGCATTTTCCTTCCAATGTTGGACAAAGTTTGTTTTCACTGGTGTGAGCATGCGTCTGATTAAATTGAAGTGTTTACTGTTGATTATTTTTTCTGGAATTATTCCTAGAAAGAAAAACTGAAGTTTCATTCAAATTTAAATTCCAAAATTTTCTGCACTGTAATATGTACCGTACTTTCCGGCATATAAGACGACTTTTGTAAGCTTTAAAATTGGTGCCGAAGATGGGGGTCGTCTTATACACCGAGTTGTCTTATATGCCTGAAATAACAGTAGTTTCCGGCATATAAGACAACTTTCTAGGCAGGCGACTCAGTGCCGAAGACAGGGGTCGTCTTATATGCTGGGTCGCCTTATACGCCGGAATACACGGTATATCTTTTCAGTACTTTTTATTTTATTTTTTTAGCATGATCACCCTCTGTGGTAAAATGTTGCTTCTAATTCATGGCACTTCCAGCATTTCTTACATCATGATTTGTCTAACCTGGCCATTATTGATAGCATTATATACCATTTGTATTGTATTTCCTACTAGTTTCCACTTTAAGGTATAACTTGGAATAGATTTTATAGATTTAGTCCACAATGCCTTACATTGTTGTGTTGTGACTATTTCTTTGAAAATGTGGGTCCATTTTATCATACAATTTTTGTTTGTTCTGTCTATCCATACAATTTTGAAGCCACTACAGAAGAGTGGTGACTAATGATTCCATCAGCTGAAATTTCAGCCCTGCCCAGCATCTTCCTGTATGTTTAAAACATGCAGTTTGCATGCTGTCAGTCCTATAAAATAGACCAGATGTATAAAATACATATATAAAATCAACAATGTATAGAACTAAATGCACTGTTATTAAAGCAGCAATAGTAACAGAAACTTACAAGATTGAATGTGCTACCACTTCTCTCTCTTTTATCATCATGTAATTTGAAGGAGGCATCTGTTTAAATATTTTTGAAAATTTCTGTGTTGATATGGGCTCAGGCCACATTTATTTGATCTTTATCTTTGTAAGAGAGTTTTCTTTTTTCATCAGAACCATCCTCTATATTCACTACACATGCACAATAGTCTGATTATTCAATGTCTTGAATTTTCCCCCTTTTTCCTTTCCCAATGTATTGTTTGTTGACTATTTGATTTCTTTAAACAAAATATTTGAAATTATGACCTGGACAATTGTTTGAACACTTGATCTTTAAGTGGCAACAGAGTTACACAGTTGGTCCTCTGATTTGTACCGTTAGCACTTAGACTAATATAGCTTTATAGCACTCTCTAAGTGGTTTACAAAATCAGCACATTGGCCCCAACAATCTGGATCCTCATTTTACCAACCTTGGAAGGATGAAAGGCAGAATAAACATAGAGCTGATCAGGACTAAACTCCTGGCAGAGGGCAGAGTTAGCCTGCAATACTACATTCCAACCACTGTGCTACCGTGGCTATCAAAATGCTATCAAAGATGTAAGAAAGGTTTTAATTTCAAATTAGATTAAGGCTGAGATAGACTCATCAGTTTCAGGGCTTTGAACTAATGGGTCAAAGAATCTCAAATATTATTTTAAATTTTAATAGGCTGCAAAAGTCAGGATTCTGGATTTCCTCCTACCGAAAGATTATAGGATTGGAGAAAAATCTCAGGCCTGGTTTGAAGGCAGCAGTCCCACAGAAGACAGACAGAACCAACTGATATCACAAGTTTAACAATATGGAACATGTCATTTCAGGATTCTTTCACCTATGGGCATCAATGTATCCTACAATGCCCACATACAACTTCTGGAAGCAGATAAGAGGGAAAACATTTCTTCCAGAATAAACCACTCAAAGATGTCCTTCAGCTGCTGGAACTTGGTATTCAAAGAAATACACGTGGTTGTAACTTCTTGAAATAGATAGAGAGCCATCCACCTTCTGGGACAAGCTTTGCCTCATGGCAGTCTTATCATTTTAAGTATCTATTTGAAACTCATTTAACATTTTTCTTTAGAAAGAGGTGAATAATGTTTTTCATATTGCAATATAAAATACTTTTCTACCGTTTCAGGTTGAATAATAGAGCAAAACATTCAAGCTATTCTATTACAATTGATGTCATGTAATTGATGAAAGATGGCCTTCAACAAAAGAGAATTCACTACAAATTCTTACTTAGTCATTAAACTAAGAGGGTGGCCTTGGGGCAAACTATTAACTCCCATTCTAACAGACTTCATAATTTGTTGTGAAGAGAGAAAAAAATGGAATAACCCCATGTACATTGCTTTGAGCACCTTGAAACTAGATGGGATAATATGAGACAATAAATAACATTCCACTAAAATTCAATTAAAATACAATTAAAGACTTTGGCTCAATGAAATCCCTTGAAACCTATCCACATGTAAAAAAAAATTAACATTCCTTAAAAGATGTTCAATGGGCTTGATGAGTCCCTGTAGAAAAGAGAGTTCCACAATTATGAAATAAGCCAAGTTGTGAATAGATGCATTGATGAAAGTGGGCTCTGAAATGACTAAAAATTGCAGCTGATCAGAAGGAGGTAGTGAGTGTATGATCTTTTTGATTGTTGAGTGACCACCTCATTTCTTTTATAGTAAATTGTCCAATTTACAATGAAGTGAACATTAATGCAAGGGACATTTTTAGGTGGTGCACTATCATATTCATGAATCTAAATCATATTCATATTTAAATATCTAATCTAAAATAGATCTACATTTTCTCAGTTCTTGGAATCAGATCTATAATTAATTTTGTTTCTCTAGAATACCTGGGAAAAAGAGTAAGTTTGTTAAAAATAGGATTCTGTATACAAAGGTACCTTCTCAGTTTCTTTTTAATTAAGCATAGAAACTATTTTTCTTCCACTTTCCCAGTGAATTCCCTCTTCTAGATTCCATTTCCCATTTGCACTTAATATATATGAGTTCAATTTCAGCCCCAAAGCCCAGGTTATCAACTTCCTGAACAATGTATAGCTTTCACTTATTGCCCAGTGTCCATTTGGTGAAATAGTTTTGTTTTCAGACACTTTAGCTATTTATTTTTAATTAACGTTATTATAAAGTGATGTTTGTTTAACTTTGGATTTTTTATGATTGCAATTACAGGTAAGCCTTAACTTACAATAATTGGTTTAGCAACTGTTCAAAGTTACAACAGCACTGGAAAAAGTGATTGTAACTGATCCTTGCATTTACAAGTGTTCACATGATCAAAATTCAGGCGCATAGTAACCAGCATTTATTTACAATGGTTGCAGCATCCTGGGGTCATGGGATTGTTATTTGCAACCTTCCCAGACAGCTTCCAATAATCAAGTCAATGGGGAATCCAGATTCACTTAATGATTGCATGATTCACTCAACAACTGTAGAGAAAATAAGTCATAAAACTAGGCCTGGCTTATTTAACAACCAATTTGCTTAGCAATGGAAATTCTAGTCTTGATTGTGGATCTTATTAGACAAAAAATCTAGCACTGACTGACGATGTTACCTATTTGGGTAATGTAATGTCTGCAAGAAAACAACTAAGCTCAGAGAACACCCTGAGACAAAAATTTACGATCAATTTATTAGTAATTTTGTTTCGTGGCCCACAATAAAAAAATACCAGGAGTCATAATTCATATGTAATTTAAACATTTTGTTTGTAAGTATAGATAGGAGGAAGTGCTGAAATCCAAAAGACATGGCACATATTTTGAAATAATAGAAAATACTTGTAGCTCGGGTTTTAGATTTTGACAGTGGTTTGCACACTTTGCACATATCTTTACATTCTCATGCCCCATCCCCATTGCAGTTGGTAAAATTTATTTTTGTGACCCAAGAAAAAAAGTTTATTTTTTGCCCTCTCTCTGAAAGCCTAACCAAAACATAGCCAAGAAAGAGGCTGGGCTGTCATAGGCTTCATGTGTTGAAAAAGAAACTGAATAATAGAGCTCTGCAGATCTTTGTTTTCAACTTCCTGAAGTGGCTTCACTTCATCTGATTTACTTGCAGTTCTTCCAATTACCAGAAGAGGTGTGAGCAAGGAGATTGTAAGTTGAATGCAGCAATATACAGCTGTATGCTAGACAAAGGTGTATGCAGACCACGATGAGGGAAATTCTTCCTGCTAGGTGGAAGAGGAAGTGGAGAGTTGCAACAGTGATTGGGAAGCTGTCACAGTGTTCAAAATAAGCACCACAGGATCACAGCAGGAGTCTGACCACAGCAGCAGCCTGAAGCAGTCCCAAATTTCATTCATGGGTCCTGGATTTTGGAGATATTCTGGAAGTTGGCAGTTGTGGGATTCAAATATGTGAACAACCGGTTCTCTGTGTGGATACCACTTCCGTAGGTCCATTCTGGGGTTGGGCAACAAAAAATTAGCTACTGGTTTTGCCAAAGTGGTGCGAACTGGCTAACTTCAGTGTGCCACTGAAGTTAGCCCACTTGAAATACCTTAGTTCAAAAATTGTTGCAATATGATGCAGTCTTTTGCCAAGTTAAAGGTCAAGATAATAAAAGGTTTAGTAGGTTTAGTAATATATATGTTTTGAATTTAGAGAGAGGAGCAATAAAGTGAAATGGAATGAAATGATTTCTTAAATGTAGAGTTCCAGAATAGTTGCTGAATGTGATATGATTAGTGTATGATGGACATGAGCCTTGCATGAGAATAAGGGAAATTTTTCATGACTAGTTCAACATTAGGATGGAGCAAGACAAGAATGTAAAATATCCTCTTAATGATTTAGTATATTTATGAATGTGTTGGACTACAACAGAGAATTGCTGGTTAGTGATACAAATTTATATATACACTTTTATATGCAGATGGTGCCATGTTGTTGGCTGATAATAATTTGCATCAGAATTTTTGATACAAAAAACAGTATGGATTTGGAAAATATACTAAAGACTCAGATAGTTGTGTTTCACAAGGAAAATAAATGAATGGCAGCCAGTTACACTTAAATGACAAAAAATCATAGCAACTACTGATTTTTATATCTTGAGATATTAAATTTTAAGATATTAAA